CTGTCTCTCTCTCTCTCTTTCTCTCTCTTCTCTCTCTCTCTCTCTCTCTCTCTGTCTCTCTCTCTCTCTCTATATATATTATATATTAATAATATAATATATATATAATATTAAATATATATATATATGAGATTCTATTGTTTCGAGAAACGTTGCAGATAAAGCAGAGGCAGCTTGGTGGGGAATCCCAATACTACCTATCGCTTCCAAGCGATGGTATACAGTAAACACCGCATAAAGAACCCGTGATTTTTAAGAACTCCAGGCTGAAATTGGACAAAAGCACTATTATATAAGAACCTCTTCAGCCTGAATAAATTAAAACGGTTCTTATATATAAAAAAATGCCGAAAAATTATAGCAAACTGGGGCAATGCAAGTGTGTGTGCTACACCATTGGAAAACTGTTTTACTATTAGTCCAATCAATTTTCACAGAATTTAGCCTTTCATTGTGTTTAATATGATAAGTAAATTAAAGTGATAAATAAATTAACTCAAATGAATTTAAACAGACATATAATTTCTATATTAAGCAGTTGGTTAATTAATTAGTGTCACTTATTCACGAATTAAAGCCAATATTTTTCTAGATAATGTACACAATATCCCCCCCCCCCAAAAAAACTCTTTTAAGACCTACTTCAGGCTGATTTCTCACTATGTACATTATATATATAGAACTCTTTCAGCCTAGCTGAAACAGAAATCACGGGGTTCTTTTATGTGGTGTTCACGGTAGTCAATGTATCCGCAGACACACGTAGCGGCTGTTTAGACACAGGCTTACTCTTAAATAAGCAGTCACTGCTTCGCGCTGGCTAGGATCTATCATATAGGGAGGATTCGGCAGATAGACTGAATATACCAGTGCCTGTGTGTATGAATCCTGAACCAGGCGTGATTCCTGCATTTCTGCTCATTAGACTAAGATTGGTGGGAGTCGTAAAAAGCTTTACACATGCTCGGCATGATGATGATGCGAAATTATACACACCGGATCCGCTAGTTTTTCACCGGCTCCGATCATTGTTGGTAAGTCATCGATAAGATGTCGTACTCGAGTGAAGGAGTATTCTTACCGTGATCAAGTTTGTAAGTAAATTTAGTGTATTTCAGTTTTGTGCATACTGGTAATGTTGAGTTATGTTTCGATATTAAAATCGGATATAAACGGGCAGACAACCAAACAACACAACGAAAAAATAATCATGATATAATCAAATACATAATAAGAATCATAAAAAACCGCGATTATCGCGATATTGGATCGAATATAAGTATACATATTGTTATTGCTATATATTAATTTTATTGCTTTAATATAACACGCTGAGTCAATCACTATAATCAAACTGCAATAACAATCATACATGCTAGATATACGACAAAGGGAAAATAATGTGAATCATACTTTCTAGTGCATAATGCGCGTCGTGCTGTTGCTGCATCACTAGTTATGAATGTGCATTGTAAAAAACTGTTAATAATCCACCTATAGTCGTTACTTACGGGAGTTTGATTATCGGATACGAACGCGCTGTACTGTCATTACCCAGGGGTAAAAAAAGCACCATTTCTCCATTAAACGACGCGCTACTTCAATCAGACATCCCGTCATTTGACGAGGCATCACTTTCTAAAGATCGCTTGTTCGGAGAAAACAGAGTGACACCACTGGGTATAAAAATGCGAGTAATAGCAGTTCAATGTTTATCATCAAGCGCTCACTGCGCAGCCTCCACTATGCTGAAACAACGGAGTACGTAACATTACGATGCAGTAACTCAATTTTAAACTCTTGAATCTCATTTTAAAATATAAATACAGCGCGTAACGATGCGCTGATATAATTTTGTAAGTCACAACACTGCTGTTGTGACGTCACGGGCTCTTCGTTATTATAATATATGCTGCAGATCTATGCGCATGCATTGAAGCAGAAGGCTTGAAATTGTGTACGACGCCTAGCCGGCTATAGCCCCCCCCCGCAGGCCGCGGGGCCCCCCCCTGTACGCGTAAATGAAAGGTCCTAACTACAATTGAAAATTTCTCGCTAGTATATGCGTATTGTTGGCCTGGTATAGCTTACTATTTATAATTCCGCGACTCCCAGTACTCTGTTCTATGTCTGTTTATGTTTTCGGGTGTATTTTTTCAAATTTTGTTTGCATTTAATTATTGAAGTTTGAGTATATACTTCATGTTACATATAAACTTACTTGTTCATTACAGGAGTGAACTAGAGATGCCACTAGCAGGATTCAGGTAACCTGCTGTGTATTCGCTATAAATTGTAAGTATGTTTCATACTTTTTGTGTTGTATTAAGCTACATATTGCAGTGGCAGTGCTATATTAAGATACAGTAGACATTATTGGCGTAATTACGCGCAAGATGTGCAAAATAATTATTCAGATCTTAGTCGTTTACTTGACGTGGATTTATTCTTATATATTTTTGCTATCTATATGTCCTAAAGGACGGTTGACGAGTACTTAGAACGTTCGCAAAGATAGATGTATATTTATATGTAAACAAACTCCATCGTGCGTTATCGTACATGACTATACAGTTATATATATATACTTTATATATTCGATATATTATATATACATAGAATTAAGAATGTGTGTCTGTGGGTGGTGGTGTGTGTGTGTGGTGTGTGTGTGTGTGTGTGTATGTCTGTGGTGTGGTGTGTGTGTGTGTGGAAGTTGCGTGACCGCTCGCACATATATCCCGATGAACATTGACCATTTCTTGTGCCATAATTATCGCGAATATTCTGTCGTTCTGTATTGCCGTTGTATCGAGATTGTGGCAATAAGTAGAGATCATAAGACAGCGGGTAAAAATACCAGTAAGGTAGCTACATAAAATTTCGTTGTTTTTTATATAAATGTGGTGCAAAGGTAGTGAATTAAGTTAATTCGAACGCAGTGCGTGCGTTTCTATATTTTATTAAGTGACATTATTGAGAATCGATACGGAAGTTCCTAAAGCTGAATATCCAAGTCAAGTCTGAACGGATGATAACAACATTTAGCTGGTATGTAGATACAATGTAGACAAACTGGTGGGTTTATCGGCCTCGTCACTGTGAATACCCCCGCACACGTATTGTTTTGGAGATGGCCGTAGAAGTGCATATATTTTTGTGTTAATGACAGGAAAGTCTTAGAACTTTAAATGTACTCTTCTAGATATAGCCGCAAATTTAGGGTAGTATCGAAAACAAAGGGGGAAACTCGAAAACGAAGACCTAGACTATGACCTCGAAAACAAAGACCTCATCGAAATATACTGAAGCACTAAAATCTTCGTTAATTGGTGTTTCGCGAAAATTCTCTACCATATCCGAATAAATGAGCGGGTCGTTCCCCCAAAATCTCTAAACAAAGGACCCCATTTTTTTAGCCGAATTTAATTCTATCAATGTTTTCTAGACAAACAGCTGCCAAACAACACACTCATCCCTTTTCGACGTCAGAAGCAATGGTTTTTGTTCAATAAACTGTGCATGGGTTGCGTGTGTTTTTTTGCAAAAAATATCTCTGTCTCCCACTGTTTTAAATGCCTTATTTAGTCACAAGTGTGTATGTATCATTCGTTTTGATTTGTAAGGACAGACTGTAAAAGTTCTCAGATATCTGCAATAATAGCAGGAGTCTTCGTTTTCGAGATTTACCGCCAATAATTCGAAAACAAAGACCCCCATTTTTTTAGGCCGAATTATACTATCATGTAGACAGCCGGCTGGTGCTCAAAACAACCAGCTCCATCCGGAATTTTCGCCGTCAAAGAAGGCAATGGTTTGTTGTCTCCAAAATAGAAGTGCCGATGGGGTTAGCCTGTGTTTTTTGCAAATTATCTCTAGTCTCCGCACTGTTTATAAATGCCTTTAATTCTAGTCAAGAACTTAGTGAGTCTATGTATTGCATTGTTTATGATGTGGTAAGCGCGAGAGCTGTGAAAGTCTCGCAGTATCTGCAGAATATAGCAGGGTCTTCGTTTTTTCGAGATTAACCCCCCCAAATACTCGAAACACAAGTACCCCCCTTTTTTTTAGGCCGAATTCAAACTATCAATGTTAGACAAGCCGGCTGGTGCGTCAAGACACAGCAACTCCATCCCGACATGTTTTTCGCCGTGCACAGCAGTGAGGGAGATTAATTTTTGCTTAAGAAAACCACAGGCACCATGACCACGAGTTTATTGAGAACAAGGCAGACATTGCTTCCGTGACTGTGATTGTCCGAGTGCAGGCGAGGTGGGACCATAACATGAGAGTATTTAGTGAAGTCATATATTCGGACTTAGATGTATAGATATATATTCTATTTGTGGATAGTCAGTGTAATCAGACCAACAGTACAACTTAATTTTTTCTCAGGCCAAGGTCATAGGCATGGAATTATGTGGGTCAAACATAATGAGTTTATGTTTGGAATACACAATCTAATGAGTATAGCCGTGTCTGGACTAATCATTTTAGTGTTGGTGTCGAGTGTAAATCCCGTTGGGCTACAATCAGAGCAACGTTCAAAGAATCCGCTAGGCGCGCCAGCCTACTTCCTGACAAAATAGCAGGTATAGACGGGTCTCCGGTCGTCTGTCTGGACTGTCCATGCTTTCATTGCATATGCATGCTGACATGGGTAAGAAGGACCAGGTCGTAGGCCTACATCATAATATGCCAAAATGGCCGCGGTAGGTTTGATAATAAACATGGGCGGCCAACATAAGGTTGAGACACATAGACATGGGCGGCGCGCGCGCGGTAGAGATTATTTGTACGGGAAGTAGGCTGGCGCCGCTAGCGGATCTTGCACCGTTGGCTTGATTGCGTAAGGCAATCAGGGCGAATTTAATGAGACACTAAATGATTAGTGTCAGACACTAAATCATTTAGATGGTCTATCTTTCAAGTCATTTAGTGTTTGACAGTATTCCGATGCTATGATTGGCTGATTAATGACTTTCATCATCTAAATAGAATATATGATGCATTAATTACGAATACTTGATGTCACTAAATCATTTATTGTCCTACCTCGCCTGCCATACTCGACGGGGCGGAACGTGAGTGGATTCTAAAAGAAAGCTGAAAGAGTACTGTAGAAATGTCGGAAGAGGAGTGCGTTGTTGTGAAGCAAGACGGCTTGTCTACATTAGATAGTAATTATTGGCTGAACAAATGGCGGTCTTTGTTTTCAAAGATTTTGGGGGGGTAATCTCGAAAACGCAAGACCCTGCTCTTTTTGCGAGTATGCAGGACTTTTACAGGTCTGGCGCTTATTAATCATTAAACAATGAAATACATAGATCACTTCGTGACTAGAATTTGAAGCTTTTAGACAGTCGGGAGTAATTTTCTTGCAGACAACACAGGCACGTGCACGTTTATTTGGAACACAACCCATTTGCTTTTGAGGACGAAATGTGCGCGAGGAGTGGTTGTTGAGCACAAGTGGTTTGTCTACATTGATAGTATGAATTCGGCTAAAAAATGGGCCGCGGTCTTTGTTTTCCGATTTTGCGGGTATCTGAAACGTAAAGCTGCTGATTATTTGGGCAGATATGCTGAGACTCTTTGACAGGTCTGCGCCTTCACTAAATATAAACATGGATCCATAGATCACTTTGAACTAGCATTAAAGGCATGTTATAACAGTGGGGAGTATTTTTGACAAGAAAACACATGGCAACCTCATTGCACAGTGTTATTTGGACCAACAACCATTCTTTTTGAACGGCGATAAATGTCGGTCTGACGAGGTGTGTTGTTTGGATGCACACAGCTGGTTTGTCTTACAATCGATAGCTACGATGAATTCGGGCTAAAGTAAATGGGGCGGTCTTTGTTTTCCGAGTTTTGGCGGGGGGTAATTCTGAAACGAAACCCTGTATTTATTTGCAGATATGCTGAGACTTTTAACAGGTCTAGCGCTACAGATCATAAACAATGGAATACATAGTGTCACTTGCTGACTTAAGAATTAGAGCATTTCAGTAACAGTGGGGAGGACTAGAGATAATTTTGCAAAATAACCAGTGCAACCCGATGCACGTTTATTGAGCAACACTACCATGCTTTTTGAACGGCCGGATAAAATGTCGGATGGGTGTGTTGCTTTGAGCCAGCCGGCTTGTACATTGATAGTACCAATTAATTCGAGCTAAAAATGAAATAAGGGGTCTTTGTTTCAGGATTTTGGGGGCGGTAACTCGAAAACGAGACCGCTTGCTATTATTGCAGATATGAGCTGAGATGCGTCTATAAGTCTGGTTACAAAATCTAAACAATACAATACCTAGTCCTTGTGACTCAGAATTAAAGGCATTTATAACAGTGGAGCCTAGAGATAATTTTTTGCCAAAAAACAAACAGGAAAACCATGCCAGTTTAGTTGGAACAAAACCATGCTATTTTGACGCCGACGAAATGTCAAATCGGATGTAGTGTGTTGTTGGAGGGCAAGCTTGGTTTTGTCTACTTGGATGTAATTCCACTTCGGCTAAAAAATGGCCGGTCTTTGGTGATCGAGATTTTGGGGGGGTAATCTCGAACGTAAGCCTGATCGGCAAGCTATGCAGATATTTTGCGCATTATAGAACAATGGTGTTTACAAGAAAATTCAACGTTCATTTGCAGACACACCAGAGGAGATTCTGCACGACACCGTTTGCCGGAGTGAACACTATGACGCATACCTAAAGAAGGATGCACCGAAGCGATATCACCACGCGAATAACCGTCGTATTAGTCCCATAGTGATAGATGTCGAGGAGGAGTGGCTAGTAGGCCGGTAACACGAGTTTCTAGTGGAATAGTTCGTATGTGAAATACAAAAGGAAATTTGTGTGTGTCTTGACAGTCTCTGTGTTTGAGCAACGGGCAAGAGAGGAGTTAAGAATTCGAAGTTATATGAAACAAAAGTGATGTTTCGTAAAATTGTTACTGTTTTTTTTTTATTCTGTTAAGGGGAAATTCTTCACATTTACGAACAAACAGATACCAGATGAAAAGCTGTAACCTTTTTTTGCCTTCAGTCGGCGAATTCGGCCTCTCAAGAAAAAGATTCCTGACAGAACACTCGATGGAATTGCAAAAAGTCAAACCAATAAGAAAGCATCTTTAATTTTTCTACCCTTTTGTTAGTTGTTAATGTGTAATCAGTGTTGATGTAGTGCTTTAGTAAATTTAGTAGTGCCTTGAGATCGGCTATTTCGCATACTATTTAGCGTCTACGTCAAACCGGGCATTCTTTTTCTATCCGTTTTATGTCAATTTTCGCAGTGCATGTTTGCACGTTTGCATGTTTTCACAGTGCAATTTTTCACGTTTCACAGATACGCACATACCCGTCTATTTTAGCGAGAAATATTATAATAAACGTTCACATATTCTGAGAATAATTCACGTGAATGATTTTCCAAACTGCTTCGGAACATCTAGGTGATTTGCACGAACTAAAATGTGTATATCAAACATACATATACTAGAAATGTTACCGCTGGACATATGAATAACTATTGTGCGACTAATAATTTTATAGCCTCCTACAGAACATGTTAGTATATAACGTTAATATTTTTTTTGCTTGCAAGATTAGTGCTTTGCGCCATTAACTTTCGCTCTCTCTCAATCTACCTTAATTTCCTCTCTCCGTAGTTAGTGTGAGACTAAAAGCTGCTGCAACAGCGCATCAGAATCATAGAACCTCTTGCATATTTACTACTATAATTTTTGTTATTAGGTAATCGGCCTATAGTGTTTTTGCTGTTGTTCATTATGAAATCGAAAACAGGCGAACTTTAAGCTGAAACATTAATATTTTGGCATTTTGATTAGGCTATAGATATATACACGTATATTCACCTCTTAAGTAGGTTGAATCTCTTCCTTGTTGTTGCGGCAGCTTGATGCAGACGCAGGCTCACGATAACTTGCGCGTTTAGGGTTCATGGTAGAGGATCTACAGTTTATGTTTATTAAACATAAACTGTGTTAAAATTGATGTTAAACTGTGTTAACATTGTTTAATAGAATATGTATATATATATATACATATATATATGTGTGTGTGTGTGTCTTTTCAATCGCTGACTATGTTTACTATTTCTTACTAATACTTCGTCGGAGAATTCTACGATCTTGGAATGTGAAGAATTTGTAACGAATGTGCCTGCGTAATAATGAATGTGTCCTACTAGTATTGATGATTTTTAAACTGTTCATTTGATGTATTACAGGACACCAGAAACAATGACATTCTGTACAGGAGGCACGCACGGCTGGGATAACCGCGCAGCAAGCATGCACGTATGTATTGTAATAATAGTCATCATCAATCTTCCATGCGCGCCTTATATGACAATATTTTACATTATAACAAGCCGAAATGACAAAATATTTGCGCATAATTTATGGCACAAGAAACGGTCAACGTTCATGCTGATACATGTATACGCACACAAGCGCGCGCACACACACACACACACACGACAAATACTCACACACACACACACACACACACACACACACACCACAAAACACACACACACACACACACACAACCACACACACACACACACACACACAACACACAAACCACACACCCACACAACACCACGTACCACGCGCCACGATACACAACACATAAAAAATACACGTATTAAATGAATTTGGAACGTGTGCGCGACATACTTCTACTCTAGTAGAAATGGGTTTTGTAGGCAATCTTATAGCGTATGACCAGCGATAAAAGAAGGATACGCTGACGAAACCATTGCCCCAACACAGAATCTATATTTTATCTGTGGTAAAGTCGTAGGATGTATATGCTCCTTTTTATGCTGGTTTACTTCGGAAAAAATAATAACACAGTTAATCATTCCTTCGTAAAAATTATTGTGAGACGTCTTGAAGTTTGATTGAAATTGTCGTTTTGATATATTTAAATGATATATTAATACCATAGTGAATAAATATAAATAAGTGATTTAATTAATTGTTTAGAATTAACAGTGTCTATATATGTGGATACAGAACTATTGGAGGTGAAGCCAGCTGCCAATAATGGAACGCTTGGCTCTCCTTCACACATCTGCTTGGGATCGTGATCCGCTACCCCCACCAGATGTTGGATCTCCTGATTATGACGTTGGCAATTCCCTGCCGATCAGACCGAGTATGAGATACGAATAAATTCCTCAGGCTGTGATTGTGGCAGTGACGTAAGCATAAGTGCGGAGATGCAGTGATATATGCATGAGTGTATAATATAGACACTATAATAATTAGACACTCCTGATATTATGCACACACGTATAATATTATATATATATATATATATATATATATATATATATATAATCTCACATATTTAATTAGGTATCATTCACTTGGAATATGCAACACATATATAATTAATTAACTGTAGCAAGCACGGAAGATTGTTACAGTTTATTTCCGTCACTATCAAATTAACTGCGAGTTTTCTACCATGCCATTAGCCACTGTTTCAATTTTGTTTTATTTAAGTCGATTCGGCAAAAAGTGAGGCAGCGATCAAATCCGCATTTCTCTTTGAATTACATTTATTATTTTTTATTGCTTTTACCAATATCTAACGCGCCGCCAGCCCCAAGTTTATCCCGAGTCTCCGTTGTATCCAGATGTATCATGATTAGGAAATTAGAAATCGTCTCCATTTACCTTTGCAATTTCTAAACCGTTCACATTAAACTTACATATTGCGCCTCTTTACCTGTCAGTATGCTGCCAGATGTGGGACGTCGATAAACAGTTTAGACCTTCCCAGCAACGAGTAGGATGGCGGCCAACTGCGCCTGCCACGCCCCCTGGGCGAGTTCCTGTTCATTCAAGAAAGAGTCCACGATGCTTCTACCTCAGCAGATTATGCCTCTTGGTGTGACGCGAGAACTTTCAAATGCCCGCTATTTGCAACGTACACATTGACAAGGTTTTGATAATTACTTATGGTCAACATTTAGGAAATAGCTTGATACTTGTTTTTCTTCGCCCCGAAAGACTACTCCATAAAGCCTATACTCCACTCTATATAAGACGATACACGAGTTAATTTCTTTTGCTTCTAGTCTGTAAACTGCTCTAGTTGTACACGCTGAAGACCCTATCATATGGTGTCGCGAGTTTTTGTCATTTATGCTTTGCCAATTTGACTGCCAACCGTCAACCGACTTGCGATATATTGTCATTTATGCTGGCGCGCGCGCGTGCGTCGCGCTGCGTGCAGTGCCGTATCGTGCGTTGCGTTGACTCCCGGGCTCAGTGTGTTTCGTGTGTGTGTGTGTGTGTGTGTGTGTGTGTGTGTGTGTGTGTGTGTGTGTGTGTGTGTGTGTGTGTGTTATGCGTGTGTGTATGTATAAATATTGATTTCGAATTATCCGGTCTGTGAAGCGCACTAAGTGTATCTAAGTGTGAGTAATGAGCGTATAGTGTTTGTTGTTATGGCTACATTTAGTAAGATCATGTCTGTCCTAATAATCTAGGCTTTTACAAGTGTGACTGACGAGAGGCCGTGTGTGCGCGGTGATGTGAGGATACCACCAGGACTCCAACCTACATGTGATGCATACAGCAATGCACGCAGAACAAATGTTAACCCCTACGGAATGTTTAATCCAGGTATTTACATGTCACCTTGATTTCTTAGTTTATGTCATAAAAGAAATATTTTTACCGAAAAAGTTAATGTAAATTAACTAAATTTGGAGCAATTATACATCCGTGCGCGCACACTCACCCACTCACCCAAACATAAATGTTGTTCAATTTACGCCAAATAATGAGAACTTGTATTGCGAGTCAGCGCCTTTCTCTATCAAATTGCTTTGGGTGTTTACATAATTACAGGTGAAAACGCCCCAATTTCGGCTGTCAATGATTCCGCTATCATGACAAACATGGTTCCGATGTATGAAGGGTTCATTCAAGGTGTGTACGTCAGCTGCTCTTATCTGTTCCTGGCCTATACTGACTTGAACAAGACTAACTATATATAGACTATATTGTCGTAATGTCTAATTTAAATATATACCACTGTTCAACACAGGTCCAGGAGTGCAATCTTAAAATCAAGTCGCACTTTTTGTGTTATTTTTGATAAAATAGTAATATATACAGCATCGGCTTTGTAGGCGTGTGGCACGATGTCCATGACTATCTCTCGCAGTGGGCACAGACACTTGGACCAATCAACGTTGTCACTGGCCCTGTGTTTGATTACAACATTGATGGCAACTATGATGACCTGTCCATGGTTGAGTAAGTGAAATCAGTTGGTTTTACAGAGAATTGCACTATTTCTTATGATTCACGTAACACACTTGTAACAAAAACTATAATACAAATTAACAAGTATTGCGATGTTTAATGTGGTTTGTATCTTGGTGTTGATGCTTGCCAATTGTAATTCTATACCTGTAGAATTAAACCCAGGGTCCAGCAACGAACATACCATTATCGCATTGCTAAGCCACTTAAAATAGGTGGGGTAAATTCATGATGCAATTCACGCATGCACGTGGAGATCAATGCAATAACAGGGAAATGCACATTTTCTATACTAAAGTGTCTCCTGTTTCAGGTTTCTTTACAATGACAGCAGCATACCCCTACCGACCCATTACTTTTTGGTTCTAACCCGATGCCTAGAGCTCGGATCTAGCCTGGCTGATTGTCCAGCGACGAGTATTGATGCGCTGTCATTTATAATACCACACAAAGAGAAAATGGAAAATTGCAAGGTACGAAGTGTTGAAATTGTGTATGTCGGTACCGCGTGGTATGTAACATGCTGCTAAAGAGAATGTATCTGTGAGACCCAGTAGCCATACATACCAGTGATATTTACCTCCGCCAAGGAGGTTATGTTTTCGCCCCTGTTCGTTTGTGTGTTTGCTGATTTGTTGGTTTGTTGGTTTGTTTGTCTGTCAACAGGATATCTCAAAAAGTTACGGACGGATTTTGATGAAATTTTTTGGACGGGTTGGTCTTGGGCCAACAACCAATCGATTAGATTTTGGTGGTGATCCGGATCCAGACATGAATTTTTTAGATTTTTTTGATTAAAAAAATGTGAGGAAGACTTCGGACGCATTCAAATGTATCAAACTAAATCCTGGATTTTTTTTTCAAATTTCTGAAAATTTAATCAAACTATATTGGGTGTACCAGCACGATGGGGGACTGTTACGCTGTGGCGGAGGTTTGCTATCTCCGATTGCTCTTGTCTCGCAATGCGTCGCTGAGGCTATGTGTACTTTTGAACCCCGCCCTAGTATCACGCCTCTGGCTAGCTCATGGTCGAGACATTGTTACTATGATTACTTATAAATTTAGTAGAGAAACCGACGTGTAAATAAAGGCACACTAGATTCTAGAGAGAAAAGAACGCAATAACAGCATCGGAATTATATTTGGTTTCAGTTGACCGACGAATACGTTTTTACTCATTCCTCCTCGCTGCGTGATGTAGAGCGTCTTACGGGGCTCAGTCTCCATCCAGAACTTGACTTTTATGAAACGATGGGATATCGGCTTATATCTCGACAAACTCTATGGGAGCTAAATCTTCCGTCACCACCTCCACCAACTACTCCACCGCCTGGCAAATGGATCGATCAGGAATGCGTAACACAGAAAGTTTGCCCTGCTGGGTAAGAATGATTCTTTCGCATTTATTCAGCTTGTTTGCGAACCATTTTCTAAAATAGTGGCACGTTTAGGTTTCAAACAAAAGCAGAGAACGTACACGCATTTCGCGTGTTTGCTTTAGAAATATCTAATCTTTATCTATAGGTTCGAGACTTCGCCCGTGATCATTGTGTCATTGGACGGATTCCGTGCCGAATACCTGCTGAGAAATTTCACGCCCACCTTCCAGCGCATGCGTGAATGTGGGGCCCATGCCACTCACATGCAGTCAGTCTACCCTACGAAGACTTTCCCAAACCACTACTCACTGGCCACGGTATTATATCACGATACGACCCCTGTATATTATGTGTCGATCTTTGTGTACACTTGCAAAAGTCGCGGTATTCTCCTTCGTCTTACCTTGTACTACCCTTTTAAACGCTGACCGACGCCATCAGAGACACGTGCTTAAAGGTATATTTTCATAGAAAGTGCATGTGCATGAGGAACCGTAGATACAATAATGTAACCCAACAAGAGTAGGCAACAAGAGTACCCTACTCTTGTTGGCTTACATTATTGTAGCTAGAGGAACCGCTGACCTATAGAATTCATGTCTACCAATTTTATTGAACACGGAACATTGTGTTGCATCGCTACATATGTATACTTACGATGAACATTGCAGGGCCTTTATCCAGAGTCGCATGGCATCATTGACAACAGTATGTACGACGCTGCCTTTGACGCTTCCTTTAGCCTCGGCTCACCGGAGAAAAACAACAATAGGTGGTGGAACGGTGAACCGGTGAGACATAATATAACTATGTGCTCACGCGCAAATTTACAGCGTCCATTCATATGGTAGTTTGAGCTGTGAAAGGCATGCAGATATTCTTCAGGGTTTCGCCAGCATCTCGTCTCGATTTTTTTCTTCACAGTGATTACCTGATTTTGGCAAACAAAGATCTTTAGCTCTAGATATGGTCGTTAAGTTTAACTTAGTTTTAAATTTGTTTGAATTCTGCAAGGGCATGAGGTCACAGTAAAAAAAGCCAGCAGCAACATTTACATTTAAATAAGGATAGAGGATAACCTTGGATTTCAACACTTTTTCAATGATGGTATTTTCATCTAGATTATATTGGTATTTTGATCGGTATATTTTTATCTAGATTTGGAACACCGTAATGAAAAATGGAAAAACGGCAGCAACTTATTTCTGGCCCGGTTCTGATGTGGATATACAAGGTGAGGACAACTCAAGCACTTACTGTATCCATACATCTCTATTTTTGACACTTACCGTATGGTATAAAATAACTATTTTAATGCCTACAATTTATTTAAATTTCAATTGAATTAAATTGATATCTGAATTGTATTCTGTTCGATTAAAACACGTTATGCGCAGACAATCATCAAAATGATGTGCTATCTTAGTCTCATCAAGTACAATATATATGTACCTTATATTTTTAGATATGCGACCCGACTATTTCTACTATTATGACAAGTAAGAGGCTGTAATGATGAAGTATGAGTTTATTTGTTTCATTCGTAAAAAATAAGGGTAGGCCTAATAGTGTACAAAGGTAATAACACAGTAAATGCATTAATAACGAGTCTAAGTAATAAAAGGCATACTTACTGCTGATATATAATATATATATCTAATTATATATATACATACTCTGCACGGTAGAGCTTTTTTGTTACAATGTTTGTGTGTGCGTGCATGCGTGCGTGCGTGTGTGTATACTTCTTTATTTTTATGGCTTAATAACTCGCCAGGCTATTTTGGGGCTTCTTTGCGTGCATTTATATTTGGCATATATTGATACTACTTGCGCACAATGCATAAGTCGCCCGGATCGTGTAACAGTTAAAATAAAGAATGTCAGGATTAAAGGTGTTCCTGCGTCTGTCACGGGTAGTATAATCATAACCTATGTGTTTGCCGGTTGTCGTAGCCGAGTGCCAGACCACACTAGGGTTAACCAGATGCTACACTGGCTAGAGTATCCAGCCAATGAACGTCCAGATTTCATCACTGCCTACTTTGAGTCAGTCGACGGCATTGGACACAATGTCGATCTGGATACCGATGAGGTAAATGTAACTGGCAACGGAATTCTGTAGTGAGACTGCATTAGCTCAAATTAAATCAATTGCCTTCGATGGCGCTAACTGAAATTTATGGCGAAAAATTATATATATATATATATATATATACATACTTATTTATATATATAGCCCTAATATCATGTCGCATCATATCATATCATATCATATGTTATTTTTATTACATTATATTATATTAATATTATGTCTATGTATAGAGAGACGGATTGTTTTTCGGCAGAAAAGCGGCTACATGCTCCTTTGGGATAGAATGTATAATCTGCATTCTTCACATATTTTCACCTTCCTATCGCATACATTCTTTTCACATAGATGATAAAGATATTTCCCGCACATTTCAGCTGAATGACGAACTGGCTTACATGGACAGTGTTATCGGGGATCTGATGGATGTCTTTACCAGAGGGGGCTCCACCAGTGTGTTGACATTATGATCACTGCGATCATGGTAAGGGCTCATACTGTAACGACGATGATGACGTTACCCGTTTCAAGTAGATTAGTTGTAGCGATGAGAATGAAACTCCAAAGTCCAACAGTTGTGTTCAGCAAATAGTATTATTGTTTCTGCAACCCACATGCGCGCGCACAGAGGCACGCAGCCGCGTGCCTCGCACACTCACGTCCGATCTCCTCACAACCAAGAACCTTCCTTCATACATTTCTAGCTAACAAAGAAAGTCGTGCGCGCGCGGACAACCACACCGCTGCCCCATGCACAACAATCTCTCTCACCGTTTCTCATCTCCATCATCCATACTACATCAAAGCGCGCTACGCCGGACCAACCAATTATGCAACCACAGTCGCTACATTTCCAACACAACTACTATTTCTACCATCTGCAAACCACACTTTACACTTACACACAAATCTCTGAAATAAAATTCTATTGCTAGTCACTATTTTCCCCTGGTTTGGCGTATATTTAAACCTATTACGAACCGGCGTTCATTACGACAAGGAGGCATGAAGTACACGCGTTGACCGCAATTCACATATCTGCACGACGTATATATAGGCTCATGCGTTGTAATATTTGATCTTACACAATTAATTAATTGAGGCAATTAATTAATTGAAATCTAAATTAAAATGTGTAAACCTACTTATCTAAAATTTTATAATCTTAGCGCGATAAAGTATATCAACTTCTTTTTACGGTTACATATATCATAATCACAATATATAATATATATATTATATATATATATATATATATAAATTATATATATGTGTGTGTGTGTGTGTGTGTGTGTGTGTGTGTGTGTGTGTGTGTGTGTGTGTGTGTGTGTGTGTGTGTGTGTGCGTGCGCGTGTGCGTGCGTGTGTGGTGTGCGTGCGCGTGTGCGTGTGCGTGTGTGTGAATTTCATTTACATTCCGCGTGACTGCAGGTATGGGTGCTATCTCGTGTGACAGGAGAGTGATGATGGAAGACTACGTTTACGACGTGGATCTCGTTAAGGTCTACCAGGGAGCCAACAGTCGCATCGCAATAAACAAGTCCAACTGTAGGTTTTCCATGCGACTGCAAATATCAACGCGATCGTTCTGTTCCGCAGATGCAAATTCATTTTCGACTGTTATCTTAGAGAATCACATAATGACAACTCGAGGATTAATTAAAAAGGTTTATCTGAACATTCACTCACAAATTGCTAGATGCAGGCCTAACTGCTTGCTAGGCTGAACAGTGATCATCCGTGAACCAATGCAATATAGAAGAACGATTATATAATTATAGAATATAATTAAATATTATATAATTAAATTATAGATCAGCCACTCCATGTACTTTGTATGCTGCAAGTTGTACTACGTAATTTGTATGTTGTAAGTTGCACCTTATACGTTGTGCGGCGAATATTTTTTGGTGTATGCTGCAGATACGGCGGACACACTGCTGGACGCAGTGCGCTGTAAGAACGACCACTATAACGCCTTCAGGAAGGAAGAGATGCCCAAGCGGTTCCATTACAGCAACAACGACAGGATTGACGAGGTTGTGCTGGACGTGGAGGAAGATTGGCTCATCGCCAGGTAACCGCTTTGCAACGAACAATTGAACGGTCAAGTCAGAGTAAAAGAAAGTGAAATTGACGCGTTTATAACGTGTTCGGCCTGATGGCGATGACCAACCGTACGCGCACGCGTGCTCGTAGACGCAGATATGTAGGCACACACACACGCTCGCACGCACACGCAAAACGCTGGCGTGCAGCTACACGCACGCGTGTACGTGGACTGCACGACTATTCATTGTTCTAGAACGCCACCAAAATTTGTTGTTGTGGATGATGATGATGACGATGACGATGACGACGATAACGACGGCAACGGCAGGGGCGGCGGTGGTGGTGGTACCGTTTGCTGCTGTTTTCTACAAATGATGTTATTTTAAAACTATCAAGACCATTGATATATTCTGGAAATCTGTGAACTGTTATTGATATGACGGCTACTGTTGAGCTATTGTGACGCGCACCCTCCTTGCTTCATTACACAGAGAACCATCCACATTAACAGGATCTACCTGCTCAGGCGGCACCCATGGATGGGATGATCGCGACACGAGTATGCATGTAAGTATTCCTATCGTTTACACAGAGTAAGCTACTTGTAATTACGGTACTAATGTAATTCCATGCTAATATATCATGGAAATATGCACGCTTAGCAACTCCGATAATGACCAACAGACTACTTTCGATTAGTGCTTATGCTGGCGCAACTGAGTAATCTAAGTCTATAATCTCTAAATATTTTATCGTTTTCTTAAATCTCTAAAAATAAACTGAATTTCAGTCCCCTATTTCCGACGAAGATCTGTTGTCATGAACTCTCGGTATGTGTTGTTTGATGTTAGTAATTGAATTATTACAGGCAATATTCATAGGACACGGTCCACATTTTAAACAAAACTATACCAGTCCTGCTTTTCCAAATATTGAGTTATACAACTTGATCGTGGGTACGTAACCATATTCACTAGTACTTATTTATGTACGAGTTTAACATTATTATGTAATATAACGATAATAAACCTAAATTATTGAAACAACCTAACCTATAACAATGTGTCAAAATTTATTGGCGTTCGGTGTGTGTGTGTGTGTGTGTGTGCGTGCGTGCGTGCGTGCGTGCGTGTGTGTGTGTGTGTGTGTGTGTGTGTGTGTGTGTGTGTGTGTGTGTGTGTGTGTGTGTGTGTGTGTGTGTGTGCTCTAGTGCTACTTTACTTGCTACTTCTTCTACTGCTACTTCTACTTGCTACTTCTTTCTACGGCTACTTCTACTTCTACTGATCTACTTCTATCTTCTACTTCTACGTTCTACATTACTACTTCTCCAACTTACTAACTTATACCTTCTAGCTGCTACTGTCTACTTCTACTTTCTACTTCTTCTATATCTACTCTGCTACTTCTACTTCTACTTCTCTAATTTTTCTACACATTTTGCATTCAACCCATATCTGGCCTCCTTCACCATATCGAGTCCGCTGGGCGGTGGTTGCTTTTAGCCCCTCCCCATTACTGGAGACGGGCCCACATCGAACATCTTTAACGCAGGTCCGCTCGTGATTGGACCGTTGAGTGATTCACATCCGTCAAGGTCGTTTGCGTAAGCCGATTTTCTATCGGGCTTCTTCTGAAAGAGGCCGAGCAACCTTATACTTTTGTCGAACATTCCCATCTGTTTTGATTTTTTAAGTCAGGTGAGCAAGCATCGTTGGGCCAAAAAAGGTTACGGCAGCATCGTAGCGGAGTCCCGCGCGACGCAGCAGGTCTGTCTATCGTCGTCGTTCCGACGACAAAGTCAGTGGATTCAGGTTCTGAATTAGTCCCGCTGCATTATTAATCAACAAACGGTGCTGCTGGCGTGAGGACATCGACGAGAGCAAACGTTAAGGTTTAGAGCGGGTACTTCCAAAGTGCAACTATAGCCGACGGACAGAGTTCTTATCTATCGGCAGACCCCATCAGGTGGGTGGGGACGCGCCGGCTGCGGAGTTGGCGCCTCGGCGTTTCAACACTGATAGATGCTCGGTAGCGTCGAGCGTGAGCGAGCTATTTACGTATTATTACGTCGAGGACTTTTCGTTCTATCAGTTTCGAGAGGTCCAGCGCATCGCAGCGAATACTGCGTGGGAAGAAAACATAATATTTTGACGCGCAACTGCAATCGACGTTCAAATACAAGCCAAGAACCTTAAGAGAAACGCTCGTCTACACAATAAAACAAAGTACACAGCCGCCACCATAAAATAAAATTAAAAGCTCCAGCCATAAAAAATGACTCAATTAACACTTAAGCTCTGCTACTGTATGTCCGCTAAGCAGCCGTGCCGGCCGCCCGACGCGGAGCTACAAGCCGCATCCGCCACCGACGCCGCTACAGCGCGCTCGCCACCTGCAATATAAATAATAAGTAAATCTAGACATCTTAGGACTATAGCCGGCAGGGCACCGAGTCTGGCTACTCGGATGCCGCCTGGCAGGGCCGCCGCACCCCGACGCCGCTACAGCCGCCGCCACGCCCGGAGACGACGCTATACCAGCCCGCCGCCACCCCGACGCCCGCTAGCCACGGCCCGCGCGCGCCCTACTTTGACCGCGTCCGCGTAGCAGTAGTTTTCCGCCCGGCGCCACCGAGAGCTACCGTGGGGCATTTCGACCTATCAGTGGGGCCGTTATTCCCAGGCTGCTACGTGATGCCGCTGGCAGCGGCCCGCCACCCGCCGGACCTCGATCCGGCCGACCGCGCTAATGATGCCGCTGCAGCCCCGGCCGCACCTTGCTCCCGACGGCCGGCCTCGACAAGCCACGCTCAACCTTGGGGGGCACTCTGTCTCACTGCGCCCCCGGCTAGCGGCGATCTGTACCGCGAGCCAGTCACCTAGAAACTGAAGTATGACGCCCGCTACAGAGCCTGTCCCGCAACTACCCAGAGATCTGTAGGAGTTAACCGCTATAGCCCGCTACCTCGACTACAGCGCCGCCACACGCGACCGATGATCAAGCCTCGGCTACAGGCTCCTCCAGAGCCTAACAGCCGCCCGACTACCGCGATGGGAACCGCGCGAGTTGGTATCATGAGAGCCTTATGCCGCTACAGCCGCCGGCCGACCCCTAAGTTGATCAAGGCCGCTACCCTTCAAAACGGTATCCGCTAGCTACCTGATGCCATCGCTAGCAAGTTTCCGACAATACCCGATCAAGCCGAGCTACCGGCTTTACGAGACTGCCGCTGCACAGCCGATCACCTGACCACTCGACGGCCCAGCTAGCTAGCTATCACTAGTTGTTGTCTATCGCGCACTTGCCTCACGCGTCATCAATTGCTCGCTTCCATCCGGTGATTATAGGACCATTAATTCCTGTTATAGCGGTGCGCCTGCGTTTTAATTTGAGGCGTCACGGGACGCCTGATATAACCGTGCACGTATGCCTATCAACGGCTTTGAGCGCGCGCGTGGTCGTAGGATGGCGCTTCATGGACTTTTTACATCGTACCCCTGATGGCCTCCACGGCCTCGCCCCGCCCCCGCGCCACCGGCGGCTCGGCAGCACTGCGCACCCTCCCGCCGACGGGCCGCTACAGCCGCCGCTGCCGCCGCACACGCGCTAACCAGACGCCGCGTACAGCCGCTCGCTTCACCGCCGACTCCAGACCCAGAAGCGCGATGCAGCCCGCCTACCAGCGATGCGCTATCAGCGCCGCGCGCCACCCCGCGCAACCGCACGCACGCGACGCCGACGGCCCGCCGCTGCTGCTACGAGTATACCGACACGTGCTTGGCTACCCGCCGCAGCCGTTGCAACTCCGCCGCCACCCACAGGCGAGTATACGAGATCAGTGCGCGTGGCCCCCGCCGCAGCCGAAAGCTGTCGCCGTTCATCGTCCATCAATAGACTTAACCGCCGATGTCTGCGCTTCGCCATACTGCAGGTTGTCTCCGCTCTTCGCGGGCTGTCGACTGTAATTAACGACATTGCGCGTGACAGTTTAAACGTAATGAATCAATCAGGCTGGGGATGACGCTGGGGATGCAGGCGGGGCCTACCACAGAACTCGACGCTGTTCCTTCTCCCGAAGAATGTTATCCTCGCGAAATGTATAATCCAACGGGCACGCGCGGCAGTGTCGTCAACGGCGAATATTTTGGGCACATGATTAAATAATTAAATTAATATTAATTATAATATATATTATCAATATATATTATTAATTAATATAAATTCTATGTATAATATATATAATATGAGTTTATAAGATATAATTAATTAATTAATATAACTTAATTACTTTAGTTATAGGCTTAGGGATTAAACGGTCGTGCCGAGCAACGATGAAGGTGATAAAACGAGAGTATCCGCGTGCCGAACATGGACGGACGTCAATTGTGGCCGGTTTGAAGGTCGTCATTATTAGGCGGTATCCGGCACGAGCTGCCAGGGTTCTAGCTAGCGTGCCATGCGTTAAGCAGTTCCAATATAGGTTCAACGACACGGGTCGACGGCGAACGTATCGCAAGAGAGGGGAGGGCCATGTGTTTGCCCGGAGCGCCGTCTGTAGCTATTATTTTCGAAAAAACAGTATGCGGGACTGGAGTGTAACAGAAGTGTCGGCGAGTGTTCGTCCTGTTACTAGTAATACGCCCAACGCTAGGAGATCGACAAACTGTATAAGCCACATTCAAGAAGCGTGTTTTTGTCCCTGTGGTGCGTGCATTTACTAAGGGCACAAGACTGTAGCGGCGCAACATTGCGTGGTGGCATGTGGGCGGAGAGAAGGGGGGAGCGAAAATAGAGAGAGAGAAGCAGGGAGAAGGGGGCGGGGGGAGAGCAGCGTAGAAAGCAAAGGGAGAGAGAATGAGAGAAGTGAGAGAATGAGAGGTGTGAAGCCGGACAAACATTGCGTGGTGCCGCGCGTAAGCTTTTTTTACGCAGAAAGTATACCGTGGCGCACGGCAAAACCGACAGTAGGGTAATAACTGCGTCGTCATGGCACACGTCGCGTGTCAAGAACTCATTTTCGACATTCTGCTATATTCCTATATGCGCTATATTCATCGTGCTACCCGCCGCTCGCCTCTCCTCCTCATGCGCGCTCCCTCTTTGCTCCTCTTCTCTCTCTGCTCGTCCATCCGGAGCCAGCTATCCTCTCCTCTCTCTTCCCTCCCTCTCCTCTCTCTCTTCCCTAACGCATCGCCGATCCCATCAATCAACTCATCCATTTCATACCATCCATCAATATTCGATTCACTCATGTTATCCATCTACCCTTATCCATCATTCACCATCTATGCCGAATCCAATCCATCCCCATCCATGACGACTCAGCCATCTATCTCATTCCATCCCATCCCATCCCAACCATCCATGCCATCCATCCGCATCATCCATTCCATCCATCCATCCATCCCATTCCATCCAATGCCATCCATTCCATCCATCCCATCCATCGATCATGCCATCCCATCGACCATGCCATCCATACTACCATCCCATTCATGCCATGCCATACCAATCGCATCCATTCATCCATCGCATTCATACTATAAGCCATCCCCAATTCGTCCGTCCCCGCTCCCGTCCGTTCCATCGCATCCATTCCCATCCATCATCCATCCATCCCATGACCGTCGCGTCTAGCAGCCACCCCGTCCATTTTATGTTCTACTCCTAATTTACGCCCATATATGTATATGTGTATAATATAGTACTATACCATGTATGTATGGTATGTATGTATGTATACTATATATATATATAGCTATAGGTGAAGGCATCCAGCGGACAGACTGTGTCTCCTTCCCTCGAGGAATGGAAACCATGGCGGTAGACCTCACACGCGTCGATTTTGCTGCCTGAGGCGGTATACTTAACTGCTTGCTTGCTGCTCGAGTCGAAGAATCAGTCGATCGCTCGCTGTGTTGGGCTTTGTTGCTCGCTCATTCGTTGCTGCTCGCAGCTGGGAAGTCATTTCCCCCTCGTTTATTATTCCTTACGTCTCTTTATTGGAGCGTAACACTCCCGGATGGGCCGTAGCTGACCGAGCATGAGTAAGCCGCGGCACCCGTGACACGCCATGTTGGCTCGCCGGCGGCGATAGAACAAGTGCGGCGGGAGAGACAGGAGGCGAAGAAGAGAGAGGGAGAAAGAGAGATAGAGAGCGAGAGAGAAAGAGAGGAGATATAGAGAGCGAGAGAGAGAGGAGAAATATAGAGCGAGAAAGCAAGCTGTCGGCCGGGAGAAGAAAAGGGGGGGGGCAAAATAGAAAAGAGAGAGAGGGGGGGAGAGATTGGGAGCAAGAAAGCAAGGGAGAGAGAATGAGAGAATGAGAGAGTGTGAACGAGACACACACAGAGCGAGAGAGGGGCGGTAGAGAGAGAGAGAGAGAGAGAGAGAGAGACAGAGAGAGAAAGAGAGGAGAGTGCGGGCCGCCGCACGATTGAGAACCTTTAGAAGAGACCGGCTGTTGTTAACCAGCTTGGTCATGCCATCGATAGAGGAAAGGCGAAAGAGAGCAGAGAGAGCGAGAGAGAGAGAGGAGAGAGAGAGAGAGAGAAATAGAGAGAGAGAGAGAGAGAGAGAAGAGAAAACAGAGAGAAGAGAGAGAGAGACGAGCAGAGAGGCTTCCTTTCCCGCTGTGGGCGGTGCTGTCATC